AATAAATTTAATAATAATAAATAATTTAAAAAAATAATAAATAGTTGAGAATTCCACTAAATGATGGGAGAAAAAAATGAAATAAAATGATGCTACTGGACTTTTGACATAACTTTGAATTTTGAAATATGTTTTGACAAACTTGTCAGTTATTCATTGTTAAAGTCACTGAGTAAACAAAACACAGCATTTCTGTGGAATGACCCCTGACCCTCTGCTTTCTTATTCTCTTTATCTCTATATATTTTACACCAATGCGCGCGCGTGTGCACACACACACTCGCACCCTTTTTCCTCTGGTTTTTGTACGCCCTTCTATTTAAGCTGTGAATGTGCTGAATCTCCTCCTTTCTTTGTTGTGACATTTCCAGATCTCGGAGAGCTCTCCGGAAACAGCCTGATCCATTACAACCGGCTGAATTACTGTAATCTTTTCAAATATCACAATCCCTTCCATTAGCCCAACCTACTCTTAAGATACAGTGGCAGGAGTGTGTAAATACATCTACAGTCACCGCACACAAAGCAACAATAAACATCTATTAGATAAAAAGGGCTAAACAGATCTGGGTGATTAGAGAGGGGTAGAAATAAACAGACACACTTTGAAACGCGCTTAGCTGCTATTTACAAAAAGAAAGAAAAAGTCCTATAAAAGGTTTTTACACCTGCTTTGCTTTGGTTAGTTTAGTTCATTTACTGTTTAAATCATTTACAAACATTTTTCCCCATAACACTTGTATTTTGCAAAACATTTTGTATAAAGATCTCTGTGTTGTACATAGAATTCTGAAATTACTTTCTTTTGTGAAATATAAAATAAGATATTTTGAAGAACGGTTTTTGTTCATACAATGAAAGTCAATGCGGTCCAAAACAATTTTCTTTTCAAAATATTCTCTTTTGTTTTCCATAAAAGAAAAAAAGTGATACAAGTTTGGAATGACACACTTTTTATTGGTCTATTTCTGACTATTTTCACTTTAGTAGTTGCTGCTGTGGCCAGAAATATTCCAGCTAAGCTAAGCTGTGCTTTGAACCACATACATTTATTTTTTTAAATCCAACCTTTTTCAGCAAATCTGAATTCAAATAATATAACAGACTGAGATTCGGTGCGGGGCTGCTAAATGAAGCAGGCATGAAAGCACACTAACTCTGCACTGTAACCGCTGTTTGCACCACATCTTGAAGATAGCTTCAGAGAGTCGCAAACCTTCAGGCCAAAAAAAGGGTGGGAAAATAAGAGTAATTTTCTCCCATCCTGAACTGACACTTTTCCCCTCTTCTCTCCTCACAGCGGTAGATTATCTTCCAATGATAGCGCAGGCCGGGGCCTCAGCGCAGCAAGGCAGACACTAAATTGGCCTGCCGACACACTTGGCACTTATCATACATGCTAATGGAGAGCAGGTGTGTTAAATTTGGTGTTATTGCTCTCATTCTCTCATACTGGTCACTGGATGTTCAACATGGCACCTCATGGCAAAGAACTCTCTGAGGATCTGAAAAAAATAATTGTTGCTTTATATAAAGATGGCGTAGGCTATAAGAAGATTGCCAAGACCCTGAAACTGAGCTGTAGCACAAATCGGCACGTGCTAGGACCGCAGTTCAACTTAAATCTGTCAACGCATCTGTAATATGGTTTGCTATAAATAACACGTAAAACAAACAGGGTTCGGCTAATGTATGTTTATGTTGATGGATGCGCATTCTGGCTTCCCAATACATTACAACAACAAGCGATAGAAAAAAAAAGAAAAAGAAAAACCTTGGACAAACCATTCACTCTTGTTCAATGCGAATGCCGTATGCTGGAATATGATAATTTATTCCGTCATCACCCGGGTGCTGATAGCGCACACGCACAGGTGAGACCCGAACAGCACACGTTGATATCTGTGTTTAAGCTAAACTCGTTTAAGCTTTGCCAGTTTAAACATTTAAGAGCCAGAGGACGCGAGCTCGTGCGCACAGTGAGAAGATTTGTGCGTGCGCTCATCCGAAGCGCGCAAACCCGCACCTCAGAACACACGCAAATATTAAGCTCGCTCAATAAAAAGTACCGAAACCGTGTCTCTAAAACCGTGATACAAACCGAACCGTGAGTAAGTTGAACCGTTCCACCTCCAATATATATACATACATAAAATAAAATATGTATATGATATATGAACTTATATTATATTATATTAGTAATTTCAACAGTTCTGTGAAGTTGAAAAGGTGCCCTATAACAGGAATGACCCAAAAACCCCTCTAACTATGGTAAAAACTATGATCATTAAACTTTCCTTTCAGCTCTGGTGCCTCTTCTGAAGGCATTTTCCAATGGACAAACCGCAGGGACAGTGCTGAAGTCATCCCGGTGCTTTATAGATGTCCAGGTGATTTCAACCACTTTTCCAACACAGTCGGCTCACATTCGCACAGTATTTCTCATGACAGACAGCACCAGGGGAGATAAAAGTCTCTGAAATGCCTGATAAAATAGAGAATGTTTGGAATGGGACTTCAGAAAAAGGCTCCCACACAGATGTAACAGGATATTATGACTCTGATTGTGCTGTTCGAAAGGGATGGAAAATAGTCAAAACAACCATTAGGGTCTGTCTATTAATAGTGATTCCCTTCCATATCTGCTCAGTCTGGAACTAGTCGCACTGTGCTTTCATTTAATTGTTTTCATTGATAAAATAATCAAGAGATAATACATGTTCAGCTCCCTAAATGATTTACTTCTGAAGTGGAATTACATTTCAAATGAATCTTTAAAGAGTTCACTTCAAGGTAATCTCGATCCAACGCAACCTCTTGGTGTGGGATCTAACCTGCCTGCATGGATGGTGTGTTCCTGTCTCTAAGCCAGTGGATCAAGGAAATGTCTTCTGAATGTTTAATGTCTGGCTGCATTTCCAGGCCAGATATCAAATGAGCTGATCAGGAAGCCTGGGGTCTGTAGAGACCTACACCAGTCCAGCTTTCCAGATCCTGGAACCATTTAGGGTCATTTATGGATATCCAGGGCCCTGGCAGCTCGAGAGTGGCCTTACTGGGTCAACAGGGCCTCTCTATAAACAGCTACTGAGCCTGGCTCGCTCTCTGCTCCACAGCCTGGGGTCAAGGGTCACAGATGGTGCCTCTGAAGATGGCGGCTCACCAAGCAGGCAGTCGACGTACAAAGCTGGCATTTCCACAAGCAGAGGGAGATCATTACGGCCGCTGTACAAAATATTCATGATAATAACAATATTACCATGGTCGAATTAGCAAGTCAAATATGCACACAGGCCTGCTAGCAGACGAGGCTTCAGAGACCACTTTGATCTTGCTGGCAAAAGCAACTTGATGATGGCAATTGAAATCAGTAAGAAGAGCTAAAGAGAGCAAAAGGAAGGACGGGTTTCCACCCAACACGCCTTGACCTTTTTTTTGTTCTTTCGTTCCCAGCGCATCATCTGAGAAATTATCTGAACTGAGAGACCATGACAAAGCTGTCATTTTAAGTAAGTGTTTTCCCTTCACCAAATTTAACTTTTTCTTAAACCTTTGTGACTGATATTAGCTATGCAAGTAATTCTCCAATGGCCTAATTTAAGCCAGCCAGTCGATCAACAGCGAGGTTCCTGCTATGAGACGCTGGTGGAAACGTGTTAAAAAAAGAAAAGAAATTCAGGCTTTCTCTAGACGCTCACTGAATAATGACAACATTTGATGAAATATCATATAAAAATCAATGGAGAGACAGGAGAGGCTGGTCCCACTGTGCTGTCATGTTTAGAATGGAATACTAGGAAACACTGTGTCGTCAGCAGGGTTGGAAAAGCTACTTTGAAACTGCAATTGAAACTACTACTACTGTTTAAAGTAGTTTAAACTGTAGACAAGCAATTTTGAAATATAAAAAATTAAATATCTCAAATAGAGTCACATCAATAAAAATGAGCATAAAAAACTACCATAAACACTTTTTCATTTCTTTGATATATTATAAGCAAAAGTGACAAATAACTGGAATAAATCAGAATCAAACTGAATCGAGAATTGATACTGGAAAAAATATATATAACTATATTACAAAAGGAAAGAATGTTCCAACTAAACAGATTCAGAATGATCAGACTTTTTTTTTTCAAGTAGCTTGTTACCAGAAAAGTTTTGAAACTGTTTTGGTAACAACTGAGCACACTGTCATGCTAATGAATCAATGTAGTCAAATTAGGCTAGTTAATGCTCCAATGCTGATCATCAACACGACAAATCAGCACTGAGCTCGATCTCATGGAGAACTCCTGGAGGCTCATGGTTCTCAGTGATTTGTAAGTATAAGTAACTGAACTTAACTGACAGCACTGACCTTCATTAAAAATCTTGCTAACTGGCTGTCATGTAGAATGACACCAGGGTTGTTCTCATTTCGTGATTCGTCGCAAGCACAGTTTGCTGCATCTGTGGCTCGCCTACAGAAGCCTCAAGGTCAGGAACCGTGTCCCTCTGCTGTCTTTCATTCTCAAAAGCTTGGCAAGACATGGAGAAATCTAATACGAACCGTAGCAGCAACCAGAAAATCGCGGGACAGGGCATCAGGTGCCAACATGCAAGAAGCACCCAGGCTTTAATTTTTAAATCTTCTTTCAATCTTTTGCACCACACAATTTTAACAAGCCCCCAGAATGACTACCAGATCCTTTCCCAGTTTTCCCTGGATGAGGGAACTGCAACGGGGGAAAAGAGACAGGCCTTTACTCCCAGCCTGGCAGACAGGGATCCAAGACACAATTTCATGGTTTGTGGCCAGTGCACACCAGTGACTCCTCATCCCCTTGAAAGCAGGCTGGTTGGGAAAGGGATGACACCCCCCACCCATGCGCATACGCACCCAGCAGCCGTCACCTTCGCTGTATGCTGCCCATTATAAGCACCCATTCAGCTTCCAGCATCAAATATTAATCCCGGCCCTCGAATTGAAAAATTGCAAAGAGGTGAAAGCAACTCACCATTTTATTATTGATTTCGTGAAAATGAATCTCGCAGACCTTTTCCACCACATCCTCGTTCTCGAAAGTTACAAAGCCGAATCCTGTGAAGAGGGAGAGGATGGGAGAGAGAAAACAGGGGAAGAAAGGAAGGGAGGGGGGAAAACAGCTCATGATTGAAGTGAACCAACACAGAAGCAGTTAAATGAACAGGAAAAAAGCAACAAATATCTGTTGATTGCTATTATCGTATGGAGAAAGCATAAATGAGCCATTGAGTCGTGCAGCAATCTTCGTTTTATCTGGTCCTAATGCCATGCAAATTATGTATCTAGTACAGAGCAGGAACTCTTTTGCTGTTAAAATGATGAAGTCCTGGGCACTATTAAAATAGCGTTGAGTCTGCTCCTCAGAGATGGAGGAAGCTCAAAGATGTTTTAATGGGATTTATAGAGCCAGCCAGCATCTGAATTCCATTACCAAATATTTGATGTTTCTTTGTGAGTTTTTCAATACGTGACACACTATTTTTCCTCATTCCTAAGTGCCTCTACTGAGGATCCATTTTCACCTCTCAGAGCGCACCATCCATGAGGAAAAGGGGATATCAACAGTGATTAAAAAAAAAAAGAAAAGCAAAAACCCATTGAGACCGAGTCTCAAACTAGATATGGATGTTTGCGAACAGAATACTGATAATTTGTCACACACAATCATACGTGCACATATGCACGACCAGGGGGCAAGAAATGATCTGAAACTTAGAGAGACACTTTATAAGCCCTAATCAGCTTCACTCATGAATGTTAATCAAGTGACATAACAAACGGCCAGTAGATGCTTGCTATTTTCAAGAAAAAGTTCACTTTAATGAAATGTCAAGTGGTGTAAATATTAAGTAGAAAGAAAAAAATCCTTACAACTTTAATACATTTGGGTGTATATATAAGCAGTTTTGTTAAAATATTTGTAATAATGATTATACTACTAATAACAATCACAATTTTCGAAAACAAACAAACAAATAAATAAATATGCAGTTTTGTTTACAAATATATAAAAATAATTTTTAATACAGAAATTAAAAACTTGTCTTTTGAAAATCGTATTTCCCATGTTACAAAAACAGCATTCTTCCATCTTAGAAACATTGCCAAGCTACGAAACATGTTACCTGTTTCTGATGCAGAAAAGCTAGTTCATGCATTCATGACCTCTAGACTGATTGTAATGCACTGCTAAGTGGTTGTCCTGCATCTTCAATAAACAAGCTACAGGTAGTCCAAAATGCAGCGGCTAGAGTCCTTACCAGGTCAAGAAAATATGATCATATTACCCCAATTTTACAGTCCCTGCACTGGCTACCTATTAAGTTCCGTATCAGTTACAAAATATTATTACTTGCCTATAAGGCCCTTAATGGGTTAGCTCCTGCGTACCTAACTAGTCTTCTACCACGCTACAATCCATCACGCTCCCTAAGGTCGCAAAACTCTGGACTTTTGGTAGTACCTAGGATAGCAAAGTCCACTAAAGGAGGTAGAGCTTTTTCACATTTGGCTCCCAAACTCTGGAATAGCCTTCCTGATAACGTTCGGGGTTCAGACACACTCTCTCTGTTTAAATCTAGATTAAAGACACATCTCTTTGGCAAAGCATTCAAATAATGCATCTCATAATCTTTTACTGCAGTCATAATCTTTTACTGCAGTTATATCAAATCAAATGCACATTATTATTCCTTACCTATAAGGCCCTTAATGGGTTAGCTCCTGCGTACCTAACTAGTCTTCTACCACGCTACAATCCATCACGCTCCCTAAGGTCGCAAAATTCTGGACTTTTGGTAGTACCTAGGATATCAAAGTCCACTAAAGGAGGTAGAGCTTTTTCGCATTTGGCTCCCAAACTCTGGAATAGCCTTCCTGATAATGTTCGGGGTTCAGACACACTCTCTCTGTTTAAATCTAGATTAAAGACACATCTCTTTGGCCAAGCATTCAAATAATGCATCTCATAATCTTGTACTGCAGTTATATCTGATCAAATGCGCATTATTCTTTAGCTTGGGTTAAACAAATCAATTTTGCTTGGTTGGAACAGCAGCTACGCTAATTATGTCTCTATTTGTTTCTCTGTTTTTAGGATTTACACAAGCTTCAGTCTGGATCCAGAACACCTGAGAAGAGATGATGCCAACCCCTCAGAGGACCTCAGATGATGCCAACCCTGAAACAACATACAGAACTACCTAATTTTGCCGTAAGTTTGATTGCATCATATAATAATTGCTGTTAATAGTGTTCATCTTCTGTTCGATTACGTCTTTAATTGATTTTTCCGTACATTTCTGCCATATGTACATTAACTGACAGTCACCACTGATAAGCTACTACTAAATATTGTAGAAAACTAACTGGCAGGAAAGTTGCTTTGCAACGATTTGTATCGTGAAAAGCACTATACAAATAAACTTGAATTTAATTTAATTAAAAACATGCTTATAGCATGCACACACCTCATCATAGAAGACATGTATGCAAGTAATTTGATGTATTAATTACATTATTTATGTATTTTTGAATAATGTAATAGATACGACAAAACATTTGCAACCAACGGGCAGATACTTCCTTTCTTCACACCATGGCTAAACAAAACTTTTATATAGGGGGGAAAATATTATTATTCTCTTATAATTACAGCAAACTTTGAAATGTCTAAAAGTTGCCTCTTCATACAACTGCACTCTTACACTTAGTGTGCTGCGGTTTACAAGCCTTCAAGTAACAGAAACAAAAAGAGCAAAAATAGAGCACTTGCCCTGCTGCTTTTAGACAAGGCTTTTGGCTTTTAAGAAAGTGAGAGATAAGTCCTGGGGTCAACTGGTCAAAGAGGTTGACAGCAAGCCCAAAACAGGAAGCCATGGAGCCCCTCTCAACACCAGCCGTGATAAGAACAGATGAAGAGGCAGAAGGGGTGATAAGAGGGCATGGGATAAACAAGCGGTGGCCTCTGTTCCAGTGCTGTGTGACCTCTCAGTGATTATACGTACAGTTTGTTTTGTTTGGGGAAGAAAACACTGGCTGAATTATCTGCTCCCTGACTCCATGACACAGTAGAATCCACTCCTCGCCCTGCTGGGGTAAACACAGAGGTGGATGGCGTGCTGTTAAGAGTCGACAGAACGCCGTAGCTGTACTGACTGATGGGGTATTAGCTTTGTATTGGGGCATGAGGTAATTAAGGGCAATTATTGTATGGACAGGCTGTAGGGGTTATCTATGGTCATTGCCACACTGTCATCTTCTCCAGAGCTGGATGACGGCCAGCACCCTCTCATCGACCCTTCAGCCCGGGCTTAGGCGGCCACGAGGGTTGACATCATTGACAGGAAGTGAGTTATAGTAGCAGCCATCCCATGTATGGGAGGATGCTGGAACAGGATTCACAGACAATTACCTAGTGATCTCTTCGGTCGCAATGGCTTCCTGTACAAGCCTATTAGAGCTTCCTGTGACTGATCAGACCTGATGATTCTCTGCAGGCTAGACCAGGTCCTCCCACTGCTCCACTCCCCTGACTACTCTGCTCCACCTTTCCAAGCACAGATCTGGGGGTGATTGAATGTAGCTGGTAGTACTGTAAAAGTCACTTTTTTTCTTCACTTCATTTGATAGATGAGCTAGTCGGTCCAGAGCCATATTCATGTCATTAAATACTGCCAAGCAGACCTACAATGTGTCAGCTAATCGGTGAATAGAGTGTATTTTTTATTTATTGTAATTATAATTTTTTTTGTCAAATAAACATAAATATAAAAGATTTGAATTGGATACCTCTACAGCGCCAATTGAATTCCTAAATTTCAACTGAGAATGATAGATAGATAGATAGATAGATAGATAGATAATTGCTGCTTGGTGTCCTCTGTTCATCTACAGTATCTTTGTTCTTTGTTAAAAAGGACCCAGCAGGATCCATATAAAGCTGTGTTTTGTACAGTCAAGGCAACAATAACTGCATGCAAACAATGAGTCTGAAATGAAATATCTAAAAGGTGGCATTTGCAATGCTTTTCTACATGGCCAGATGCTGCATGCTAAGTGCAGACTAACTCTTTAAAGAATGGCCCCCGCACATGGCGGAAACATCCCTGGTGATTTCAGCCCAGAGACATTTACATGTGTCTGCAGGCCCCAGGCTGATGGGGCTGCCTTTGAAATCATGAGAAGCAGTTAGTTTTCCATCTCGGGCCTCTGCGCCCTTATCAGCCGCACAGCGACCAGTTCTGACAACCAACAAATCAGCTGTCAGGAGCAATTTCTCAGCAGCCGGGAGGGAGCTGGCATACATTAGGTGGTTCCGGGAGCCCAACGGCTACAGAGGGGAGGGAGAGGGGGTTACAGTACCCCAGCAGGAAGCACCCAAAACTGACATTTCCCTGCCAATTGACAAATCTACTATCAATCTCAAAATTCTCACTATTCAAAAGTGCACAAATGAACATAGGAGAGACTAGGGTCAAATTTAACAGAACTTAAAGAAAAAAAATAAAATAAAATAAACATTTCACATCTAAGTTACAAATTGGTTAATGATAAATGACAGGACTGGTAACATATGAATCAGCAGGTTCTCTTATTAATTTAGTACGTACACTTAAAAAAAACATTTTCACTCAAATTGCATGTAAATTTCACAAACAATTATAAAGAAACAGCAAGTAACACATTAAATGTGAAGAAGAAAAACTGAAATAGTATTTTCTTGTAAAACATACTCCAAAAATCTTTATTTACAAAAAATAATTTTTGACAATGTAGTAAAACTATTATTATTTAAAAAAGTTTCCCTTTTTTTTAAATTTTAGGTTAATTAAAATGAAATTGGGATTCATCAGGATTGGTATTTATTAAAATTAAAATTAAATTTTGTAAAAATAAATAATTAAATAATGCATACATACATGCATGATTGATTAACAAAACAAATGTGTGCAAACTTTGCTGACGTCCATGTTTTTATAGTGTTTCATCTAACCCTATGTAACTAAGTTTTATCACCCCAGCAGTGGGGTATGATGTGCCAACAGTACTCTCTGCATTAACTCAGAATTTAGGGATAAGTTCAAAACAACTTTAATTTGTTGCAGATAAATGAGGGAAAGTTAGAGAGAGAGAGAGAGAGAGAGAGAGAGAGAGAGAGAGAGAGAGAGAGAGAGAGATCAGACATTAAAGGGGTCATATGATGCTTTTTTAAAGATCATTATTTGGTGTAACAGAATATGTTGACATGCTTTAATGTTCAAAAAACACATTATTTTTCAAATACTGTACATTATTGTAGGTCCTCTATGCCCCGTCTCTCTCAAACACTTAGTTTTCTACAAAGTCCCTCCTTCCGACAAGCGCAGTCTGCTCTGATTGGCCAGCTGACCCAGTGCATTGTGATTGGCCGAACACCGCAAGCACTCGTCGGAAATGTATTTTTGATATTGCTTATCTATTGCAAAACTACTGAATGCACCGCAGGACAATATTGTAAAACATAATATAAGAGGAAAGGAATACTGATCAGATCTTGACAGATATATTTTTACTAGCATTAGTCTTAAACTTTCCAGAATTTTCAGATTATTTCAGACTACAACCAAAACTGCCATCCACAATCTCTAACTGCATCAAGCATAGCAGAAAAATCAGGTAATGATCCCGCACACCACCATTGTCAGAGTTCAGGGTGCTATTGGCAGGGTGAGCTCTCGACTGTGCACTGGAAACGGCAGCAAATCAAAAACCTTCAGCGCTGCTAACAGGATCTCTTAATGAAAGAGTGCCGATACCGAGGTCCCTTCTCTGTATCCTCTGCAAAGTCAAGTGAAGGAGAGGATTGGAACAATGCAAAACAACAGCTGCCTTGGCGCTGGTGGAGGAGACGTTACATTTTTCCGCCTCAAACACCCCAAGGCATTATCTTGCTCAGTTAGTGACTTAACCACTCTGAACAGGCCATTTCCTTACATTGGAAACCACTTCTGCCTTACAGCCCACCTACACCAACGCAGCGCTCCTACAACACGACACGCACATCTGTCTTGAAGCGGTATGCCTGAGAGAGAGAAAAAAGAAACGCATCTATTTTTTTCCCTTAACTTGTTTTGAGATCCCTCAATGACAACACATGAATTTCCAATCTCGGGGAGGATAATAAGTGTTAGTGGCTATTACGGAGGCGTCTGGCTGCCATCTCACACTTATTAGCCAGAGCGAAGCAGGCCGGGTCTCAACAGACACCCAGACATTCACAGCCTCTTACAAAACAAAGAGCCACTGCTACACTGAATGCCAGTCCCCCTCGGAGCCCAGCACAAATAAAATTAAAATGCTAAATCAATGAGCCTTCCTCTGACCTTTGCTTTAAAAGCCGAGGGTGCCTGGAGCAGTTCAATGCATTTAAAGGGAAGAGGTACACAACCGAATCAGATATTATTACGGCCACCTCGTATCCTTTCCAGAGACCAGAGATGGTAAATAGATTGCATGTTGCATATTAAGTGGTGGGGGGAAATAGCATGCCTACGGACTTTCTCATGAATGCACAGACACACTTGCATGCACGCACATGCAAAATGGCACGGATGGTGTACCACCTGAAACTGTGATTCATACAATGGTATGCGAGATCAGATGCTGAATAATATATGACCACAGGATGAGTTCAGGATGGGCAACGCTAAAACAAGCACAACACTTAGTATAAACATTAAAGTCACAGGACTTTACAGCACACAGGTGCTGCAAAAGTTTGGAACCTCAAAAATTATTTGCAGGTAGGTTTCTTCAAGTGTTTTGTAGATGTTGCCACAGTTCTTCTGGATTAAGTCTGTCTCAGTTTTTTTCTGTTTCTTCATGTCATTCCAGATGGACTGGGTGACGGTGAGATCAGATCTGTGTGGAGCGCTGGCTGTTGACAGACTCCTTGTGCATTCATAAACCTCACTAGATTATTACAAAATAATGGCAAAAGGAATATTTGGAATTGTAAACTGATATTTCCTATTGACACACAACAGCAAAAGATAGAAATAACGGACATAAAACCAATTTTTGTTGGTAAAAATACTAACGGCCCAAGACTTTTGCACAGTGGTGTATATATGCATGTATACACTATAGAAATTGCTATTTGTGGAGAAATAATATAGCTGAGAATAAGTATAGAAAAAAAATATTTTCACATTTATATTTAATTTAAATTTATATTCACTACAGGAATTTCCATGACATTAAGGTTTAATTAATTTCCATAAAGTCCTGGTAAAGTCATTTTTTTTTTTAAAACAAAAAAGTGGATGATACTGAAAGGAAGCTACTTCTATTTTAGTTTATTCTATTTTCTATTTTTCTGCGACAGTATAGACTGATTTAAGTTTAAAAAGGAATCTTGGAATAATGACAATTAACATATACTATGGCCATTATAATTATGTAAAAGGTAGGAATTTCCTTCATTTTAAATCACTGCTCTATGGTAGCTACCAATAAATGAATATACGGCCCAAAATAAAATCTGTTTCACAGTTTCAGCTCCATTTAGTGTCCTTACACCAGTAAGAAAGGAAACTTATGCCACAGCTGCACAGCATGCTTTCTGCACCTCACCCTGTAATAAATGCTAAGCTGCTTTTTAAACACTGTTTGCAGATTTTGAGGCACAAAACCAGACCAGTGACATCAGCAGCTCCGTCTGTTACGGGTGGGTGGCTGCCACAGTGGGGAAGTGACAGGGCAACATTCTGCTACATAAGTTAGCAAATGTCTGCGGTTGTGTGTCTGCATACATATGTCTCTTTGTTCATGCGTTTGGAGAGAGTTCATGAAAAAGCTTTTTTTGTTTGTTTGGGTGCTTTTCCCAATATGCTCTTGCTATTAAAAGCTGCCCTGGAAGCGAAATATTTAAAAAGAATTGTGATGTGCCCAGACAACAAGTTACAGCAATAAAATCAAAGCCAGTGTTAATTAATTTCTCCCCACTCTGATAAATGGGGTCCCTTTCTCATCTATTAATAATGAGAGCAGAAAGCACCACAAGAACATCTGTCAATGAGTTTCATTTTCTCTCCCGGCAGACAGTTGGCTGTCCCCAGCGCTCGCATGTGCTGGGAGGAGCTCAAGTCTTTGGCCTGAAGACACCCATGGGGAGTGGAGAGAATGATACTTAGGAGTCAATAAATAGATTGGCATGCATCAATGGGAGTTTGCGGCCTTATTTACACTTCCGCTTAATCAAAAAGAAGACGGGCAGGGAGAAAAATAGCCTCTTGGTAAGCTCTCTGGAACTTGGAACTCTTGTAAACTAAATGAGACTAGACAGTGTAATCGATTGTAGCTCCAGCCACTCCACAACATTATAATGACTTGGGAGAGATGCATGGCTTTTGGAAAAACTGAAGAAAAGACCTAAAAAGAATTTGGGGGGAAAAAAGAGGAAAGTGTATAAAACTAAAACTTCTTGAAGCTTCGTGCCATTGCTGATGCTTTATTAATTTTTTACTCCAGTCGAGTGTGTATGAGGCGCGGTGGTAGATAGATCTCAAGGGTGCGAAGATAAACTAAGCTGCAATACTAGAAAACTAGCAGGGCAAATGAATGCATCTGCCACTGGCATGTTAAGGGACAAGTTCTATTAGCATGAGTGAATAAACACGCAGGCCTTCAATGTGTACTCTATAACAGTGATTCCCAACCTGTACACCGGGGGGACTTCAGCAGCTCGTAACAGGGGGAAAAATAGATCTTTCTTTGTTACACCTATAAAACAGAAATGAAGCTTGTGAACAAAAATATTATAATAAAAATACAATATTTATAGAGTAAAAATATTAATATAAACATTAAAAAATTAAAAGTAAATACATAAAAAAATGTGTATAGCTTAACATATTCAGTTTTTAGTGGATCACGTTCCAAAAAATTTATATGATATTTAAACCACAAATAAAATTGTATTAATGTCTTTGCATTCCAAGTCCAAGTGGAATTAATTTTAAACAGAGCAAGCACACTTTCTGAGCAATCATTTAACAAAAAATAAGTTTTAAATTGACTGCTTTGGTGACACTGAAGTACTTCAGCCTTCCTGATGGGGCTGTAGGGTACATAGTAAAACATAATGTTTGGAAAACACTGATGTACAAGAAGTGTTTGCAATCAAATCTAGGGAAACTGTGGGAAAAATCTGGGGAGTGATCCTATGATGGGGTGCCCTAACTTTGGCTAAAAAAAACCCCATTAAGGTCACTGCCGTACCCTCGCAAGTGGCACAGAAGATTAATGTCAACATTAGGCCCTCCA